TTGGAGGAAGGTGTGGCGTGGTCCTCCGGAGGCTCGACGGTTGCTAACTTCAGCCATCCACCATTTGGCTGCATTGCCGAGGAGGCGGGAGGTGGCAATGGGGAGCCAGTGGGCTAGGGGGATGTGGTGGAGTTGAAAAGAGTTCTGAAGTTGGGTTAGGAAGAGGAAAACGTCCTCGTGGGGGAGGCCGGAGAAGGACATGATTTCGCCDGATCGGAAGGAACGGGGGATTTCCCTGTCGCGGTGAACGATCTGCGCGAGGGTGTTGAAGATGAGGTTATCGGGGGTGCTGTCGTAGCAGGTGTGGTCGATTTGGTTGTTGTCCTCAAGGAGGTAGTTGGGGGGAGGTTGTGGCATTGCGGGAAAACCCCGGAGGTGACTTGGGAATAGGTGGGACGGATGGTGGGGATGGTGGAGGTGGTCATGATGGGTTGGGAGACGGTTTGGAGTGCGGGGGGGGAAGAGGGGTGACTTTGATGGGCGAGGAATGAGGCGGTGTGCTGGATGCATCGGATGAGGGAGGAGGTAGAGGGAACGGAACGATGGTGGGGGTTGAAGGGTTGGTGGATATGGCGGTAGAGGTGGTAGGAGTGGAGGAGGTCGGCAGGGGGGTGTTGCTGGAGGCGGCTGTGGAGGAGGGAGTGGTTTGCACTGTGGAGGCTGGAGTGGTTTGCACTGTGGGGGTTGGAGTGGTTTGCGTGGTGGTGACGACCGTGATGGAGGGGATGGTCCCTTCGATCGTGGTGACGCGGTCGCATAAGGACGAGACGTTGGCCTTTATGTCGTCGAGAGAGGCGGTGACGGAGGTTTGGAAGGTGTTGAGTGCATGGAGGATGGCAGAGAGGTCGGGGGTGGCGGTGTTGGCTGGTGGTTGTTCGCCTGCAAGGTTGCGGGCGATGCTATCGACTGAGTCGGTGCGGATGTCAGACATGTTGATGGAGGGTGCGGCCATGTTGGGGGAAGAGTGGGTGGAGGACGTGGCCTGAACGGGAGTGGAAGATGCAGCAGCAGCGGTGGCGGCGGCGGCAACACGTTGGGAGTTCTTGGTTTGGCGTGGTGGCATGTGGAGAGTGGGGGGGAATCCCTTTTTTTTTTTTTAAT